CACCCCTTTAAAAATTGTGTTTCCTCTGACGGTCCCTGCAGGTATAAGGGTATGGTTAGAACACAAATAAGTCAGCAAAAACTAAATAAGTTCCTAGGATGGTGCTTTTAACCAGCTAAAGCTATTTACATCCATCATAGTAGGGGGATCTGCTTCTACTAGGAAAAACTCTAAAGCAGCGAAAGCTATATAAACTTAGTATATCTAGCTAGCTAGGGTATCTGCTTCTAGTACCTTGCTATGGGAATCTGCTTCTAGCTAGCTAAGCACAAGTTAAGCACTAGCTAAGCACTAGAGGTATCTGCTTCTAGCTAGCAAGCTAATAGGGGTATCTGCTTGTACACTGAAACCATTCTGCCGAGGTTACACAGCTCCGCTGGCTTAAAATCAAGATTATAAGATTATTGGAACATCCAAGGGACTACAATGTCACGCAACTTTCTAAATGTCAAAAATGTCCCAATCCTCTAGAATATCCTATTTGTTATGAGGCGGCAACCAGACTGCCACTGCGGCCACACATACATGCATGGCTAAAAGCCTACTATGCACAGTAGATCAGGTGTGTCCAGATGGGGTCGTGGCAACAAGCCAGTTGATAGTTCTGCCCCCCGAAAGTGCATCCCCACCAGCTTGTACACAAGAAGGAGTGAGGGAAGCCTCACCTAGGTGGTCCCCTCCATCGCTTGCTGCTGTCAGAATTATCTTGGTCTTCGTCCCTGGAGCGTTTCGCAGCCCCAACCCCAGCCCTCACTCCAGCGTCCCAGTCTTATGCATCCTTGGGGCGACTGTGAGCTACATCCCGCACCCTCAAAGCAGCGGGAACACCCATTTCTTGCCGAGTCGCGTTTGGTTTGCCGCCATGGCGGCGTAATCCACTAGCCGTGGACTCACTTGCAGATTTGTGTTGTGGAGCAGCAATGTAGCCCGGGCTGCACCCCCCAACAAATCTGTCGCTGAAGGGGCTGCAGCCGCCACCCCTGGAGCGCGAGCCGCCGCGATGCTGTCTGCAGCAGCCAGATAGTCGAGCATATTGTGCGCACCTGCCTGTGGAGCCAAGGAGGACGACAGCTGATCCAAGCCTGCAGGAGGTCGTGCCATTGCAGAGCTCCTCCTTCTCGCCAGGGCTTCCAGGCTGCTTGCATGCGGGTTAGTTCCACTTTGCAATGCAGTGGCACCGGAGCGATTTAGTGCTGCCATCTGGGATCTAGCCAGAATGGATTCTTCCAGTTGCCGAAGCTGAGCTGACTCCATGGGTGCGAGACGCGTTTCAGAGCGGCCATTTGCTTGGGGGGGGGGGGCATTTGGGCTGCTATCCCCGGAACCTGCTGCAAATCCGGCAGTGCCAGCTGAGGGAAAGGAGAGTTGGTTTGCAGCATTCAGTCTCGCCGCAATGTTTGCAAAATCTTGTTCCTGATCTGTCCTGGGCACAAGAGAACCCGCTCCCCAAGATGCCAAGCCTCCTAATTGAAGATTCCCCCCTCCTTGAAGGTTGGCACCACCTAGCAGGTTACTACCACCCATGAGATTGCTTCGCGTCAAAAGATCCCCTACTCCAGCGTAGTTGGAGCTCTGAGGCAGCGAAGCAGCTGATGGTATACCAGCATGGAGTTGGCTCTGGGCGGCGGAGAATAGACCACCAGTCATTGACCGGCTGGTGTCGGTCAGAGCCTGCATCTGAAGCTGGTTGATCATCTGCAGTTCTGATGAGGCATTGGGCATTGTTGGCAGCGTCAGGGGTCCCTGGGACGGGGTTAGCTTGGTTTCGGAAAGAGTTCGAAGAAAGTTGTGCTCGAGGATCTGAAGCTTGGCCTTGATGGCGAGGTCGTTGGCAACCGTTGCCGACCTGTTCCTGAAGTAAACTTGTTTGCCATTGTAGTTGGTGCCTTCATACTTCTTGGATACTCGCTTGGGAGAACACATGAGCTTCTTGGAAAGATACTTCCTCAGACTTGTTCCTGAGTTCAAGGGAGAAACACAAAATGGATGAGATGAGGAGCAGATTAACCAATCTGCTTTGTTCGTGCAGCCTTTTAAAAGACCCCGCGTTTGTTTGCGTACCTTCCTCAATGTCGTCTCTGGGTAGCTCTCCGGCTTTGAATGCATCAATTATGGCAGAAGCATAGAGCTCCTCCTCTTGGCTCCATTTTCCTCCGTGCATATGGGGGTTCATCATGGTGGTGAAGATTTCCTTTGCTGGGTGAAGAGAATCGAATCTATCTTGATGGCTCTGGTTGCTGCTGTTCGTATTAGATTGCAGATACAGTAAATTATTTTTGTGGAAGTGAGAGTGCGAAAGCGGAAGAGCCCAAGGCTTTTTCTTGGGTCTGCCCTCGCCGCTTGCTCCATTCTTAAATTCGCACCATGTCTGCGCCATTCGCGTCAAACCAAGTTCTTCCACACCAGCTGAACGGCACAAAGTTGAAATAAAGGGTTTGCAGCTGTACTGTAAAGGACTGGTTGCAACTGGTACATACATGTACTAGTACTCCGTATTGTGATACTGCCATCGTCCCGTATCTCTGACTATTATTAATACAGTAGTACTCGAGTACGGAGTAATAGTGGTCGATGGCATCTGTGACAAACAGTCGCACGAGTTAATTTCTCCTGTGGTCTACTCCCTAATTCCATTTTTCTACGCTGGTTGATCAATAATCAGTACATCAATACAGCTGTCAATACGTTCAACAGAGAACCTCGCTGCAACATGGACTTTACAGCCACTATACTTTATTTGTACAGTTTCACCGGAATACAGGTCGTGGATCCATTTCAGATGTAAAAGTGATGTTAACATGGTACGAAGGAGCAGCTTAGAAACTTGTTTTTCCACTGAGAACTTCTGGGAGTCCTCTTTATCTCGAGTAGTTCATAAAAGTTTTAATGCCCCAATTTCGGGTTCTTTTAATTAAACTCACCATGCTTCGAATTGGTTGTCCGTAAGCCACACCCGAGTTGCCCAAATAAATGTCTTGACCATTAAAACGCTCACAGCAACACGAACAGTCCATGAACACGGAATCCCTTCAGCCTTCTTCAACAACAAACCAACACCGTCAACCAAACCAGCGGCTACGTTGGCCGCGCACCAATACCGCAAATACAGGTTTTGCTTGACTAGTCTACTCCAGTATCCTGGAGCTTCCGTGCACTACAATGTACTTCACTTCACTTCAAATTGCCGACTTCCTTGTTCGAATGAATCGAATCGTACCGTTTCGGTACCTACCGCTGTGGTTGCCCCTTGCAACCGCGCTACTAGCTAGACACAACAATGCCAATAATTCAAAGACAACTGAGTGCCTCCAGGGTGATATTACATGTAGTTAGTACCACCCTACCGGTACACACGCTGGGCATGTAATCGGCCTCCGGTTCCTGCCATGCCAGGGCAACGGCAACACAAGCGTGGTACAGTATTTTGTAGACTAAACATGTACAATGCCTGAGTAGTGCTCCTTTTTACCATTCTGCTAGAATTCTTTCATGAGTCAGTTGTACTGGCGGCAGCAGCTTCAACTTTCCTGCGTGTGGCGTATGGCCATTTAATACTCTTATTACGACTCTTGCTTGAGTATATTAGACTATTGGTAATGCACCTATGGCTATAAAGAGATTTATATGAATACACGTATACCTGTATAAAGCCAGCCATGCCAAGGAATTGGTACGAAGTTTTGATACCAGAATACGACGTAGGAAAATCCAAGAGCACACCACGGTAAACGATACTCGACAATCCCCACTTTTCAAGAGCTATCAAGCAACACTCGGGCCCCCCCAATTTGCCATCATGCCAATCATCACGACCATTTACACAACTGATGAGAAGAATGGAATCAAGGAAAGTGCCACTGGGAGAGGGCGTATTGCTGTTGTTGCGGCATCTGAACAATCAATATTCAGGCGATTTAACAGCAAAAGCTTGTTTCTTCGCAGGAGGAGTCGAGAGCAACCGCTCCGCAGCATCCAGACTACTAAAAGAAGAATCGCAATCGAAATCGGTACCGGCAGTAGCAACTTGGGACAAAACATCGAAGGAACGTTTGCCTTTGCCAGGTCCTTTGATGGCAGGTGGGGAGTCAATTTCTTCACTATCGTTGCCGTCTTCCGTGTCCTCGCTACCAAGGGTTTCGCTACCGTTCGTCTCTTCTTCTTTTTCTTTGGCATCTTCCTTCGCAAACTTTTCTTCCAACTCTTCAAAGGCACTAGCAAAGGTATCTTCAGGAGAATCGTCACCCCAAGGAGTTGGGATTTCCACATCCGTGATGAGATTGAAGCAAGCCAAATGACGGTCATAAGCCAGGCGATAATCCATCTCGTCATAGTCAAACGCCTTGCAGACAATAGATAGAAGCTCAGGGTGGCGATGAGGGTGGGGAAGAGCCAGCTTCAAAATCTTCATGTTCTCGAAGTCTTCATGATCGGGGTGAGCATTGGGGTCAGGATTGAGCATCAATCTCTTTCCATTCCAGGAGTACTTGACAAGCTTGGTTCCAAGAAGATCGTCCAAACTGATAGGTTCCAGGGGTGGGAGGTCCTCATGCTTTCGGTAAATGTCAATGCACTTCTTCCTGACCTGTGCATGACGGACAAGGTTCGAAACCGGCTTTGCCGCAAGATCCTTCAAAGTTTGCCAGAGCCTCAGGCTTTCTCGGCTTGGTATTGAGTTTGGTCCACATGACGGACCTTGTTGGTGGTGTCCGAAATGTCGGTTTGGCTGGACGAGGCCGTAGGAGAAGGGTAACCCGAAGCTACTTCATTGGGAAGACTCGGGGCCACCACAGAAGGGTTGGTAGAAAGGTCAGATGCAGGCGAAACGGGCTTGGACATGATTTTGTTCTTGCTGTGATGGAAGGGAATTATTATGAGTAGAACCCGACGACAATCAACCTGTATTGCATGAACACCGGAAAAGGAGTATTAACCGGAGTGTCCAGGGTATCCAATGAAACCAATTTTTGAGCAGTTTCATTGGCACGGACATCTATTGAGCCGATGAATTATTCATTAGGAAAACTGCGTTGCAATTTGAAGGCATCTATTCACTTCTTTTGGCTGGATGCTGATACTACGTGCTATAGGAAGATGTCTGGAGAGTGTTCTGTGATGGTGGGCTAGACAATTAATTGTATAATGACATCAGATAATGGCAGTTGCCCCTCCTGTGGCTTCGTCTGCCGTCTTGGCATATGGTAGGGCCTCTTTGATTCTCCCGACTATTGATTTCACCTGCGAATAGCTGGACTTGCCATTGGACAGCATCTTGCGGTAACCCAAACTGTTGTCATAGAACGCAACAAGAATATCGAGCATCTCCTGGTGTGATTTGGACTTCAAGAATGTAGAAGCATCCACACCACGTGGGAAAAGACAGAGATGAAGAACGACGTTCTTGACTTACTGTGGCTGCAAAGTAGAAAGATACGTTTCGAAACTCTCCAGCATTTTGGGTAGACATCGTCGTTTGGTTCCTTTTGAAAGACCACTCTGGTACATGCGCTTTGTGCTGCCTCGACATTCGGCTTTGACAGCGTATCCTTTTGAAGTGCTATTGGTTTTACGCAAAGCTTCTAGTTCCTTCTCCAGCATTCCGAACTTACTTCGTAGATAGCATGCACAAGGGCAGTTGTATCCCAAGTGTTTCATGCAGTCGTCACAATCGCCCACAATGCTACCATCCTTGATCTGCAGATGACAAACAGAGCTTGTTACAGAAACCATGGCATCGGCGACTAAATCCTTGGTGGCATTTGGTGATGTACGTTGGAAGGGTCGTGCGTCCCCATCAACAGCTGCAGTTATGAGTCGAACTCTTGCAGAGTCAAGAGGGATACCAATTCGATGATGCAAGTTGCCCAACCAGCCAGTAGGATTTCCAAAAGCATCCCTTCCCATCTCGATAATGTCCACTCCCTCGCGGACGAAGCCAGTGACGGCAACCATAAGTGTCGAACATGTTCGTGGAATTAGGATAGTGCATGGATCTCCACGACAGTGAGAGTCTTCTCGTAAAAGGGAACGTGCAGTGTGAACCAGAAAGTGAGTGAGAGATGCGTTCTTAGCATTATCGGCACAGATACTCTTTATTCCATGCCGATTGAAGCTCTCGTTGGGACAGTTCGATGGATAAACCCCACACTCTCCACTGCACGAGTAGTTCCAATTGTACGTTGGATACGTGCAATACTCCTTCTGGAAGTGATCTGCGGCACTGCACTCTCCTTTGCTTCGCCAACTGCTCAAGTATAACTCTGTGACGGCACGTCTTTGTTCCACAGACTTCGTGTGTGCAATGTTCCTGACGTGAGAGTATGCTGTTCCCTGCATGCTGCCTATCGGACGTTCCTTTCTTGTAATCGCGAACTCAGGGTTAACAATCTTCTTCACGTAACTGTTCTTCTTGGCGAATGGAAGAACAACATGGAAAAAGCAATTGAGCACTGCCTCGTCATGTAGTTGCCCATCATCGCTGTTGCAGTCATCGCGTCTTCTTTTCTTCTCGTGTTCGTTTCGTGTATCGTGCTTGTAATTCGGAGAGAAGTCTTGTGTCATGGCGAAGTCTTGCGTCATGAGGTGCTGTGCATCCACTGTTGGTGCGTTCACAGCTGCTGGTGCATCCAAAGCAACAATGGATGGTCGCAACTGAGCATGGAAAGCATCTTTCATTTGCTTCGAATCACACAAACCTGCATGTTTCTTAAAGAAAACGTGAGAGGATACGAATGTGTCGGCACTGTCAGATACCCCCCAGTCAATCTGGAACTCCACACCGAACAATACCCAGCACAGCGATCTCATCGCGTACAGAGTCATACAGTAGGGGTGGAATCGTTCTCCTCCAGCGCGAAGATACAATATTGGTCGGAAGGACGCAGTGACATTCTTGGCTTGTTCTCGCAGCTTCACTGACAGTCCGCCTACTGTGATGAGAATACTTTGATCTCGAATCATGCCACCTGTACCGTCTACGCATATCTGCCTAGTTCCTTTCCTTCTTGTTGCAATCTTCAATAAGTGAAAGAGTCCAGTCGGTGAGAAGATGAAGAATGCACCTTCCGTCTTCTCGTCAAGATTGGTCTTGGTCTTGAGGTCTTGGTGATTTGCCACGTTCTGTCTGTACAGGTTCAGAGCTCTTCCAGTAGCAAGATTGCAAGCGAACATCTGATCAGGTGTGGCACCTATAGCTTCAGCCAGCTGCTCGCCTGATGTGTAGTCACTACGCTTTACATAATTCATTGGCAGCAACAGCTCCCAATGACTCAGAACGCAGAAGAGACTGTCATTGCTCGTCAAAGACTTGTATCCGTAGAGCTGCGACTTGATAAAGGATTCTCTCTTGTACCCCACATGACTGCGCAACTGTCTGGTTAGTCTGTCTCTTTCTTCTCTTCCAGTCACCAGATGCTTGTGTTGGCCGTACAGATCCTCCGTGTCATTCCGGATTGTGTTTGTGACAGACTTCAGCATTTCGTCTGGGGTGATTCGAAGAATGGATCTACCCCGGTCCACTTCGGTTGCTATGAACTGATTGACCAGTGCTAGTACTGTTGCAGGCATCCCATACTGCTGGTTGTGTTTGGTTGGTTTCAGAGTCAATGCATGACAGTGCCGATTGATACCTTTACGTACAAAGACTCGGAATCGTTGCTTGTAATGTGCCGTCTCTCCTAAGTCACGGCTTTGACCTCTCCAGTCGCACTTCCACTCTCCTTTTGCGCCTTTGGCTCTGCATTGGTACTTATAGCATTGTATTCCTCCACTCAACTTGTAGGTTCCATCGGCTACAAGACATTGCTTCCCATTGTAAAAGCCTCCATATTCATCAAATATCTGGGCCCTTGCGTCCTCCTTGTTACTGCATGCATAGCACTTGGGATCTTCTATGTACTCGCCTGTGACTGAAGGTAAGGGCTTTGTGTAATCATTGGCGGCAATAGTGAGAGGCTGCTCTGTACCGGTACGTGGCATTGTGAGATATCCGTTGTACGTGGGTTGTGCCAAAAAGCTTCCAGTTTGCCCATTGCCATAGCTAAAGCCCCCACTTGGTCCATTGTACAAGTACGATATTGGGCCATTCAGCGGCACAGGATACTGTCCATGGTAGAACCCATTGCCATAATAGCCATAGGGTTGTCGGGCATAGCTTGCGTACTGTGGCACATTCTGCCTCTGGTGGTACCTCCAATTTTGCGAGTGACCGTAATTCTGCGAGTGTTCATACCTTTGGCGATGTGGCGCGGGTGGGCCATTGTCGCCCATCCTATCTCCTATCAAAGGATGCTCTGTGAAAATATTCAGCGACTACTTTTACTAGGGACAATTCTGGAAGCGATCTATGCTATTAAAGACTATTGGCGATGGTTTCCATTTTCCAACCTCTCCATCATCTCCCTCGCAAACACCTCTTTTGGCTACCCAAACAGCCCATTTCCGACATGGAATTTTCGCATGGCCACTCCAAATTGTGACTCTCACCAGTTGGAGCATGCATTGCTGGCCGAGGCAATACACATGCCCCTCCATCAGATTAATTTTTTCGATGTATGTTGCTGCTGACAGGAGTTGCATGCTTTGCCGCCTATTAACCAGGTTTTCCTGTAAAGGCGCCTGATTTCCAAGGTATCTCTCCATCTCTTCTCACTTCTTTCGTCTTTTCTTCCCAAACAGCGATTTGTTGCTGTACAATGATGAAGAGAGAGTTGTTGTCATTGCTGTCGTCCTGACGCAGGCGTCAATTTTTGTTGTGGTGGTGCAGGTAATGTGTGGTGGTGCTTTGTTGAAAGTTGCCGATTTGGCCACTGGCTCTTTCCCCATGTTTGGTGGTTCTCGACAATGGTGGGCATGCATATGAAGGGTTTTTTGGGGGGGCCCCAATTTGAGTTGGAAGCAGTTGGAAACTACTTGGAAATTTCACTCCGTGGTAAGTCAAGCACTGTTCTGAGTCATGCAAAAATGTGAGCGCCTGCACTTACACATGTGTTGCCTCCTCTTTACAGGTCAAACCATGGGCTCGGCCCATGTGTATGACCAGTAGTACATAATTCCCCTCTTGCTTGCACTTCGAAAGCCATCCAGTTTTTGTGCCACAGTACTTACTCGGAGTAGGGGGATGGGCAAATCTTGCAATAGCCCTGTATTGTAATGGAGTGTGACTCGCCAAAATCAGTTAAAAAGACGAAATTTGTATTTTTGCAGGAAGATAAATTTAATTGGATTGCATTGGATTGGATTGCATTGAATTGGAGTTTACTATACAAATATCATTACTTTCATGGATCCAATCCAATCCAATCAAATCCAATAGAGAAAAACAGCCAAAGTGAAAGATTGACTTGGCGCACACAATTTTTTGCTCATCCCCTAGAGCTGCCACAGTTCATTTATACCAGTGAAATGAAATACGACTATGACTATTACAGCAGGCGCTCAGAGAAGGGTAGAATTGGCGTTTATCCATTATTTATCCAAGATGACTCCGATGAACCCTTTATTGACCGAAAGGAAAGAATGTCAATCGTACAATCGAGTACGATGCTAATTCATAAACCGCAACAGTGGTCTTCGCATCTTCGCATACTCCGGAGTATTCTGTCTTAGTTTCATGTCCAAAAGGAGCACACAAAGAGATAGTGGCTGCGACTGGGTCTTTTCAAGCGGCAGACGTGTATGATTTGCTGTAGGATATGTATGTAGCTTTTGCCTCTGGCCTCTGGCTGTTCCCTCATACCAGTGTGGGCGAACTTTGCAGTCCCAGCGCCACGTCCCAGTGAACCCGGCAGCGCCAAGCAAAGAAACGGAGCAACACAAGTTCCTAAATCCAGTGCATCTAAAGATCTAAAGTCCCCTGATGAGAGAATCGATTCGTGCCTGCTTCTCTTCAGGCTTCAGGCTGGCTAGCTGATAGGGTGCGATGATTACGTTTTTTAAAACCACCTTTTTTCCTTTAAGGGCCTTTTCCCGTACTTTTCCAGTCTCTCTAGCTAGCTATAGATAATAGAGGTTGCTCCCTCCCTGGCCAGCATTAGGTCTCCAAAACTCGGTGGAAGTTTGGTTGCATGTTTAGCTATCATACTCCAGTAGTAGCCAGATCTAAGGTATGTAAAAGGAAGGAGGTTTTTAGGTTACGCAGTTTTGTGTAAATTAGTTTTGTAAAGCAAACCATTCCAAGAGGTACTAGTGCAGCAGAGGAAGGCAGGATGGAGTTCGCGGTGGTCTCAGCAACCCGAGGTCATCAAAGATAAGACCAACGACGACGGAAACCTAAGGGTCGTGCCTGGGTCGCTTCACCTCCCTAGTAGTAGTAGTAGCAGTAGGAGCGGTCGTGCTCTCGTCACCAAGGCTTCGTTTGAGTCGACCAGCGTTGGCTAGAATCGTATCCATCAAGAACGTGTCTGGTGTGGTTGCAGCACCAAATCCTCCAATTTGTAGAGACCCCAACGATGCGTTGCGAAGGGCTGCCAAGGTTTGTAACTTAGTAGCATCCAGCAAGCCACCACTGGCACTCGCATAGCTTGAAAATGCAGCAGCAGGGGGTCGGACGGCGGGAAGGGTCGTGAGATTATTTGGGAACGATGATCCCAGCAGAAAGGCGTTGTCCAAGCGGAACCTCTGCATGGCAGCCAATTCCAGGCTGCTGGTGCCTCCAAGAAAGGTTGACCGAACCTGAGGAAAGAGTAGCGAAGCAGAAGATACAGGAGGCAACGTTGAAGCCGTCAAGCCTCTCACGCCAGCGAAGCCGCTGCCACCAGAGTAGGAATCCAGGAGTGGGTCAGCCTGAGCCATCTTGTTTGCAATGGAACCCGTCTTTTGCATCGTAGCTAAGGCATCTCGAAACTTGCGTTCCAGTACTTCCAGCCTGGCCTTCGTCGCAATGGCAGTTGGTGAGGTTGGTGATACCCCAGTCTTCTTCATGTAAACTTGCTTGCCATTGTAGTTGGTTCCTTCGTACTTCTTTGACACTCGCTTGGGAGAACAAAGGAGCTTCTCAGCAAGAAACTTCCTTAGACTTGTTCCTGATCAACAAGGTGGAAGCAAATCAGCATGCGCCTTTGAGCCAAAAGAGTAGATGAATGTTCAGAACATGCCATGTCGAAGGGCTCTTACCTTCTTCAATGTCCCCAACAGGAATCTCTCCCGCTTTGAAGGCTAGGATCAGCGCCTCCGCATAGGCTTCCTCCTCCTGACTCCATTTCCCGCCATTCAAGTGATTGGTAAGCAAACCGCTCATTGTCTCCGTGTTGACTAACTCGGTCTATTGCCTTATTAGGGTAGGACTGAATCAATCGAATCTGTAGGGTGGGTAAGAACGATGTTGCCACTGTGCTCTTTTGAGTTTTTCACCGTTTTGGGGTCCCTGTGCATGAAATTGTGGTTAATGAGATCACATTCGAGGCTTGTGGCGAGTGGTGAGAAGATGATTGCTCTCTTTCTTTATTTTGACCTGGACAGTTCACGCGACCTCAGGTGCTGTACGATCATCCCGAAGACTCAGTACAAAACCTACGTGCTCACACCGGTATTGCCTCTCATCAAGCTCTCAAGTGAAGAAGGCCCACAGCCAGCAGCCAGTGTCAAGACTTACCGTAGTGGCTCCGGGTGGGAGTCTTTAGTAGCATTCAGGTAGTCGCGGATGAATTAAAGTCTTCACGCTGGTGCTAAGTGTTGGTCTTGGAAGAACATTATGGTGCGAGAGAGCTTGCAAGAGTCTTTTTCGAAGTGCCCTCATTCCTAACGGAGTCAAGGCTGATCGTCCTCAGTACACCGGAGTACATCGTAGTCCAGAGTAACTGTTGGAAAGTAGCCGAACGCGAAATAACGGTGGGACAGGACAATGCCAGAGCAATCCGAACAAGTTGGGAAGGGGAGTGCAAAGGAGCTTGCAGGGGCGACAATGACATTTTCCAGTTGCATGTACAGTTGAATCTACTCGAGTCGAGCCCTTATGTCCAACTTTGGGCTGCCGCTGCAGCCCCTGCCTAGTATCAGGAAAAGGAAACTGCAAGGAAGGTGACTGGTTATCGATCAATCGGGAAGTACCATACTATTAATACATTGTCATATGTTGGTACTTTCCTTCATCCACGGATTTAAAGGGTACCTGTATCCAACTAACAAACCAGTACATGTACAATACTAGTACGCAAACTTACGCTTGTAACCTTTTGAGGCGTGGCAGGTTCCGTAAAAAGGCGCTTAAATCCGTACTTGTCTCTTTTAAAATGCGGGTGTAAAATATATGATCACCTCTTAATTACAGATCCCCCCGTAAATCCTCTCTTTCCAATTTTCTAAATCTCCACATTCCGCTCTAAGTAAAGAAAACCCTTTAGAAAACCGTAACTGGGCTTTTACAAACACAAAGCTCGTCGACAACTGCGACATTTGACACGTGACCTTTCAACTTTCAAGTCACTTATAAAAAGCAGTCGAAGTTCACAGTAGTCAACAGCCTTACCGCCCTGTCTAGCTAGCTAACCATAGTAGTACCGGAAGTCGCTGGCGGCAGTTCGGCTCTTGGAGGTCGATTGATTTTTGATACTGATCATGCAGCAGCAAACAAAGTCGTCACTCTTGATGGAGAGCCGGTACTGGCTAATACCAGTGGGTCAGCCAGCTTCAACAGGGTCGAACACTCTGTTTCGCCTTCAAAGCGAACAGTCATATTTTCATCTGTTTTTTCTCTTGAGTACTAGTGGTCGCGCAAAATGTTTCAACTCCACGATTTAGCTAGCTAGTAGGGTAGACTGCAGCCAGCCAATCTGTTTTTGTTGCTTGCCAGTTCGACCTGCTCCTGCGATACGGGTACTAGTCAGTTCTGGGGGACCAATGTCCCGAACAGTTTCCAGATTCTGGGAGGTACTGTACGTAATTTGGGATTATAACATTGATTACTTAAAGATGTAATGTTCTGTGGTTTTTAAAAAACAATGATTTTATGCTTTATGGTCATTCCCATGTAAAAACTCAGGCTACGGTACAGTAGGATCAAAACCTTCCGGTTGCTCAAAATAGTGAACTGGCTTCCCAGCTTAGTTTCCTAATGAACCCACTGGCTTAACACGTAAACATCTGAAGGGTGGAGTGGTCTTGATTTTTATCTCGTGGGTCGACAGAAGAGCTTCAATAGGGCAATGTTGTTACGCCATTTTAAAAGGTTAGTCCTGACTGGTGTCCAGCCTGCCAGGTTGCTGGGACAAGGTTCTATTCTGGAAGAGATCTCTCTCTTGAGGGCTCTGGCAGCAAGACTGCCGAGGTTTGCTTCCTGTTAGAGTTGGTTGATGGTTGACTTTGCAAGGCCACCCAACACGCAGAAAGCCAATATGTCGGTCGATGAACGCGAAGCTGATGGATTATTGTACTACATGTAGTAGCTTCTTTGCGTGAGTGCGAACACGTGCGTGTTCAACAATGAGCCTGCTGCCGCGTTGTAACAAGATGGTGCGTTGCGGCGCCAAAGAGGAATTCAGTGACGAAAAACGTTGTGCCCCTTGTGCACCCCTCCTTTCAAATCGCGGCAAAAGCCGAAAGGTGTTGTACTCCGAGTACTCGTATCTGGCTAGCCAGCTACTCAGTACCTGGTACTACTTTGCGTTGCTGCGTCGCTCTGCCTTCTGCCTTGCCTCTCCGCAGGTTTTTATTACATTCAAGATGAGGGACTGGTAGCGAACGCTGGTCTATTCGGGTATTGCAAGGTACTGTAGCTAGCTAGCTAGCTAGGTTTGTTCCAAGCCGAGAAGTACTATCAAAGGAGTTGCCATAGTGACCAGCTCTCGCTCAAGCAAGCAACGCCTAATAGCACACCAAGTACCGCACTCGCTCGGCCCAAAAGCGCATACGGTACGACGTAGTATGCAGCCTGCCTGATTCGCTCAGCGTCAAGTCACTCTCTGGATCTGGATGATCCTGCCTCGGTCTGGGAAACCAGTACTAGTCGGTTGCTAGCTAGCTGCTACTGTAGCTTTTGTTTTTGGCTTGCAAGCTAAGCTCCGGGCTGCCATGGCGTTGCTTCGCTGCTTCTTGCTATGGTCAAGGCGGTTTACCTGGGTGGTACCTTACGGCATGGAGCTGGATTTCTCCACCCCCCAGTTGAATGTCAGTAGTGGCAATGACGGCGGTGAACAGTACATGTAGTAAGACAGCTGTTGCTAGTTGCTAGTGTTCACTGAGTGACTCTGCTTCGTGAAACGTGAAACAGTGGTTCACAGAGATTCAGGCTGCCGAAGGCATGAGCCCTCAACGAGTTTGATGTTGATTGGCTGGGCTACTAGCTTGGCTTGGCTAGCTAGTAGTAGTCTGTCTTGGCCTCAATTATTGAGGCTGCCGAAGGCATGAGCCCTCAACGAGTTTGGACTCATTCGGCTGGTTGGAAATAATGTGTTGCCAAGCTAGCTAGTTCTGCTACTGCTGCCTAGCTGGATAGAGCCCATTTCTAGCTAGCTGGGTAATAAACAGTTGGCTGCTTTGGTAGCTATCTAGCTAGCTAAGATATTAGGCTCTGCTACTAGCTAGCTAGGTAATGATCAGTTGGCTGCTTGGGAGCTATGGTACAGTGCCAATTAGCCAGTAGCTAGCTACATAGACTACTCTATTACGTCTCCTGAGACGACGCACCTTTTGGTTACCCCCTCAGTTGCACTCTGAAATCGATTGGCTCGCGTTTACTGTGTAAATTAGTGTACCCGCACTTCAGTTGCAGAATCAACGGTCATGTGTATCGTTAAGTAACAAGTTCCCTTTCGAAAGATTTAGATCGATTCGTGGATAAAAAGAACCGTTGAAGGTTCTAAGGTTAAGGTTAAACCAACTCATCCAATGCGCACGTACTGGTACAGCTGTACCAGGTACCGGTACAAGTCCAGCCAAATCCATTGTTGAAGGTGCAGCACTGACTTCTCTCCCTCATTGAATTCGTATGGTAAACAGGAAAGAAATCCAAGCTTGGCCAACAAGAGTGATACATACCGGTAGGAGGAGTCCTTTATCCAATCGGCCGATCGATCGATCGATCGATCGATCGATCGTAAGCCTATTATCAAGAGTGTTAATTGAAGGTACGGCACTGACTTCTCTCCCTCATTGGATTTCTATGGTATTCAGGAGAGAATTCCAAGCTCGGCCGTCAACAGGTGAGTTGTTTTAATTATTCGAATCGAATCGATCGATCGCACCTCTGTTATCCAAGCCTCACTCAAGCTGTCCTTCTCTGGTGCAGAGTCGAAAACCATCCCTCATTCAATCCTATGGACCTTGGGATGGCAGTCAGTTCTCGGCCCATGACGGCCAAGTTGGTGCAATTTGAAAAACAATGGTAAGTCTCCGGTCGTCTGCAGTTGAGCACAGAAAACAAAACTCATATCTATTTGTTGTTTTCTCTGCTGCACTGCTGACGGCCGAGGAAATACCATTGTCGAGTCCTTTTCGAACGATTGATCGCTCCGAATAACACGAGGAAGAAGAGGCTACCGCTACGGAGGTATGTGTACGGAGGAAACTGTTAACTCCAGCCCTACCAACAGCATGAACGGATCGTCGTAGACTCATTGAAAGGGAACAGGAGCAAGGCTAGCTACTCGACAACACACAAGATAGTGGATCCTCCTACCGGATTCATCCCTTCTTGTTATTTCCTACTGTTTTGGTGGTGATTCCTGTGTCGGTACCCATTTTCCTGTATGCGCGAGTCAAGTACTGTTGTCACTAGCTATACGGCAGCTGGCTACAATGGCTGGATTGACAATATTCGGTTGTGCGTGTATTCATCATAAGGATCCAATGCGAGGTAACCGAGTGCAGCGAGCAAAGCCGAACCTGAGTGTGTTCGGTACTGTTGCCACTGTCACCGATCGATGAACTCTACGATAGCTGGCTACGATGGCTGGATTGACAATGTGTGGTTGTGCATGTATTCGTCATAAGGATCCAATGCAAGGTACCGGTAACGGAGTGTAGCCAGTAAAGCGGAACCTGAGTGTTTTCGGTACTGTTGCCACTGTGACCGATTGATGTAACTCTACGGTAACTGGCTACAATGGCTGGATCGACAATATTCGGTTGTGCATGTATTCGTCATAAGGATCCAATGCGAGGTAACCGAGTGCAGCGAGCAAAGTCGAACCTGAGTGTGTTCGGTACTGTTGCCACTATCACTGATCGATGAACTCTACTGTAACTGGCTACGATGGCTGGATTGACAATGTTCGGTTGTGTATGTATTCGTCATAAGGATCCAATGCAAGGTACCGGTAACGGAGTGTAGCAAGTAAAGCGGAACCTGAGTGTGTTCGGTACTGTTGACACAGTCGCCGATGTAACTGTACGGTACCCTGCTACAATGGCTGGATTAACAATGTTCGGTTTTGTGCATGTATTCGTCATAAGGATCCAAGTAGCAAGCAAACTGAGGAAACAGGAGACGATGCTGAAAAAAAGCCGAATACCACAAGATGGCAGAAGACGCGTACGGAAGGGTGAAGGGTACTGTAGAGTACTATACTGTAGGTAGTGGAACAGCGGAACATAATTCTTAGGTGCGAAATAATGTTAATTATGGAGACCAACGAAATTGCGAAATTGCTGCGAGGAACAAGTGTTAGGACGTTAGGACCTCAAAGGAAACAACAAAGCTGTTCCAAAGGCGATTTTGTGATGACACCATTTACAGCCTTTGGACTCGCAAGAATAGAGTCAAGGGATTCAATGTCTGGTGTTTAATGCTCATCTTCTCCGAGGAATCGTCAATGGCCAAAAGAGAAGTTCGACGCGTGAACCAAAAGTTCCAGTGGTTGTCAATACATAAGAAACAGGACCCCTTGTAGTGAGCTCGTTGAGTTTCTCGTGCAACGGTACCAGTACGAGTGTGCTTGGTGGATAGTACCGTACAGCGCACGATAGACCCGTCATCCGTCGTGGACACCACAATTACATTGCATTACGGAATCGGCTGCTTGTCGAGTACATTGTTTGCCGCATAAACTTTGTGAAATTGGAAAGAGAAAACACTGAAAGAGGAGAGAAAGATGCAGGAAACTTCTTCTGATCCAAAAAACACAGGGCAGCTGAGTGCCTCCATGGCTCCTCCCGTTGCTGTTGCCAACACATGCCATGGCGAAGAGGTGGCGGCCGGCGACGTGGAAAGCAACCCAAAAGAACCAGAAGATTGCTGCTCTCTGGACCAGAACAAGTTTGCGGAGGCGCCGAAGTTGTGTCATGCCGAATCAGATTTGGCCCACTTGGGGTATGACCGAACCTGTGGAGACTCCAATTTCAACATTCACACAGATCTGGAAGCCTTTGCAGCAGAGTTGGCCCATCTACCAACTCCCACTACTACTACTACTACGCAAGCGGTAGCTTCCGTTCCTGGAGCACACGCAGTCTGCCAAGTTGTAAGATTGACTTGTGCCTCCGAGCATCCAACTCCAGCTGCTGTCCATGACATGCAAGCCACAACGACAGGCCTCGTCACTGCGGAACTGGTGCCAGAAGCAGAGCCCGTCGAAGCCCTTCATGTTGCCCACATCCCCACCACCACAAGTGATGGCACTCAAGATCAAATCAGGCAATTGCAGCAGCGTCTGAGCAGCACTGTCATTGACTCGGAGACACGACAGCAGATCGAGCAGTTACAGCGACAGCTAGATGTTTCCATTAACAACAACCACAGCAGCCATGATGGTGGAAAACCTCCTAAAGCTGTCATTGCAACCAAATGGTGGCGTCTGGGGCTTTTCCTGGTCCTGATCAGCCTCTTGGTCGCAGTTGTGGTGGTACTAGGAACCGTTCTGGGACGAGGTGCTGCCAATGATGACGATCCCGAAATGACTCCTTCCGCACCTGCGACAACACCCATCAACGCCACCGACACAAGCAGCAGCATGATCGATCCTCCTTCTTCGCCAACAACAACACAGCATGACTACGACTGCTATACAAGCACCATGGACGTGCTTCAAGCTCAACTATTTCAGCCAGAGCAACAACTGTTCATCATGTGCCCCCAGTCTCGCATCAAGATTGGTGAACTAGATACACCCGAGCAAGCATCGGTTCGATTCATTAATGGTGACTATCCTTTGGTCATTGTACGAGCAAACGTAGAAGTGCGATGTGGCTTGAGTGGGGCAGTCGACAATGACTGCATTCTGGAGGGTGGCCAAACACAAGTAGCAATGCTGCACGATCTGTATCAGAATGAACTCGGGATTTCCTCGTCACCGGCAACCCACAACGTAACACTGCGAGGAATCACCTTTACGGGAGCGCTAGTGAGTGACTTGCTGTGGGGGTCTGCTTCGGTCACCATTGGCAATCCTGGGAGAAATATCCGTTTGATCAACTGCAAATGGGAAAACATGTTTGCACCCACTGGTCTCATCTATGTCGGCCTTGATACCTTTCAGCAAGCATATGGTACTGCATCCTTGCCGAGTCGGTCCTCGGAGGTGGCCATTATCAACAGTACCTTTACCAACATCACTTATGACGCAGCACTGATTCGGGTCTTTGATCAAGATGTTTCTGTGCAGGGGTGCCAATTCGACAACATCAAGGTGCCTAATTATGCTAGACCTTGCTATCATGAGTTTGGACAGGACTGGTGTCATGGACTCATGTACTGCTACGGAGGCAGCTTTTGTGGATTGTCGGATATCTGCGTGGATCAATTCAATTTCTTTGGGCACGCTTCCCTGTTGGCAGCATCCAGCAAAACAGAATGGAGCATTTCTGGAGCCAGATATACACACGGGGTAGAACTCCACTCGCAACCAATGGCCGCTGTGGAGGGTCCTATTTGTGAGTCTGGAGTCGGCCAGTATGACGAGTCCTTTGAAACGGTGGAGTGCCTACCGGTAGAACAAGGAGGCAGACTGTGGACCCACATGTCTCAATGTCCGCTTCATTAGAAAGCTAATCTCAAATAACGCGAGGTAGCGAGCTAGGTAGCCATGTATCGGTACATATTGGATCTGTTTGTCGTGCCCTTGCAACTGCTGGTACGTACTGAATGCTGGCTTCGTAACGTGGCAGCAGCTACCGTATGCACCATGTTTCGCTTTCAGACTTGGGTACCCGGCTTCGAGTTCGCAAGTGCTAGATGGTCCTTCGGGTCGACCAAGCAATTCCACGCAAAAAAGCTGAACTAACAAGCAACACAACACAACACAACAACACAAAAGAATAGGCAAACATTATCTAGCTTTCGCAAGAACATCTACAATCCAAACGAAATGGAGCCCGGCAATCCTCATCATCAAACGCTTGCGACTGACTTGCAGTTCTCCCATTACATTCATTTGCACCGATTCCAGGCTGCGCACCGTATTCTGAAGAGCAACGTTGAAGAGAAGAACGAAAAGCTGCTGAAGGCAATCCGAGACCCGAGCACGCTGCTTCTGTCGATTGAGTATTGTTTCGATGTTGTGTTTTGGGAGGACTTGATTCGGCAATTGGAACGTCCTGCCCTCGATGCTCATTTTTCCGGCGATGGCTTCACCCCTCTTTCTGTGGCCTGTTCCGTTGGGAACGTCACAGCTGTACGAGCACTGCTGGGTGCAGGAAGTGATCCAAACAAACGAAATGCCGTGGCTGCAGGAGCTCCACTGCTCTGTGCTTGCTCCTCCGCAAAAGACCCATCTTCGCGTTTAGAGATTGTAAAGCTTTTGCTTCAAGCAGGCGGTTCCGTCGGTGCTCGTGGGCGTTTCCAGGAAACTGCTCTCCATCTCGCTTGCATCTTCGGCCTTGTCGATGCAGCACGGATTTTAGTGCAGCATGGCGCAATTGTCGATCTGAAAGAAACTCAAGGTGGGAGAACACCGTTGGCTATTGCTGTGAACGATACCAAAACTTCGAGATGGCCAAGATGTTGCTGGAGGAAGCAGGTGCCGATGCGAATGCCTCGAATAGCAACGGATGGACCCCTTTGTTAGCAGTTTACGCCAATGCTGTCAAGTACAAAACTGCCACCGACTGGGCCCACTTGTTGCTGAGCAATAAGGCAAACCCAGATGCATGCGTGAATGGGAATAAGCAGATCAGCCCTTTTGTGTTGGCATTGTACAACTGTCGTCCATTCAATGAGGAATCAATCAAGCTAGTTGAGATCCTCCTTAAACACGGTGTGGATCCAAACACAGAGATACATGGTACCGGCATCTCGCCTCTGATGTTGGCAGCTTCATCCAACAACGTCCCTTTGGCGAAGCTGTTGCTCTCCCACGGCGCAGATCCGGATTGGCAAAAGAACACAGGTGCCGAAACAGCATTGCTCTGTGCCATTGGCAACAACAACATGGGAATAGCGCAATTGCTGCTTGAGAACGGAGCAAATCCGAATCTTCAGTACCACAAAGACAAGAAGACTCTGCTTCGAATGGCTGTTGAAGGAGGAGATGTTCCGGCTATCAAAATGCTGATGGGCTTTCACGCTGAGGTCTCACCAGGTATTGAGATCCCCAAGGCTACAACGACAGATGGGCAGCTGAAACTTGACTTCGGCCCTGCAAACCCAAGGCCTAGAGAACCCACGACAATCTCCTCACAGCCCAGACATGAGGACACTCGATCTTCATCTCCACGAGTAGAAGCATCCAACCTCAGGCACAGCGATGACGACGACGATCTGTTGACGCAGTTCCGAGAAGCCGTTTCGGATCCTTCCTTGGATGTTGCCACTGCCAGCTACTTCTTGGAACTGAGCGACAGAGACGTTCAGGCTGCTGCTGTCAAGTACAAGGAAGCGAGCCAAGACATGTAAGGGCGTGTCAGTAAACCTACAACGGTTCGTAACTACGAACAAGTCGCCAGAGGGATGACAATTGCTTTAGGTCCACCCAGATGGTGACTACGGATACAATACAATAAACTAAATTATTAACCGTCATACATATAAAGAGACTGGCCTACCGTGATCCCAAAGAGGTCCGTCCTCCAACGAGGAAACTTTCGTCTCCACTCTCCGTAGCCATCCCGTTACACCACTTTGCTTTTAATTTTCTCCACACACACCCCTTGTCAAGCTCTCGCAGGCCTTGTCACAGAATCCAGTGATTGATTCCTTGACCACAACGATCGTCCACAAGCGCTTAAAAGCTACTGGTAGTGGTTTGGCCAGAATCTACTGTACCACGACGGCCTCCCCCAACATTATTGTCATTGCCAAATCTTTGGCCACATTTATTTGTTTCTTGGCTTTCGAAATTGCACGTAGTTCTAGAAAAATGCTCAATACTTTCAAGACACTTTTACATGTATGAAAGGCGAAAATATAAAACTCAAAAACTGAAACATGAAACTTAATTAAAACCTGAAACAACTCTACTAGTAGTTGCGGACGCTGTATTCAACGGTCTTTGGTTCCATCAAGATCTTTACCTCTACCGGTACTAGTAGCTAGAAAGGCACTTCAGAAACTCAACGCCATGAGCAAAGCACGCTCTTGACTTGGCTCCTAGCTAGAGCTGTGTGCTAGTTTTCTACACCATTCTTGATCTTAGCTTGACAATCTTATGGATCTCAACGATCTGCAATGCGGCTCATTTTCTCTTCCACCATCAATGATCAAGTCCTGGAAGATGCCATGATTGTCATGGAGCCTCTCCTGCACACCAACAGTCAGTAAGCTGCCCTTGAAGCTGCTATCTTTGTTCTTGGCAGAAAGATCTTGTACCTGCAACAGCATCCACCACTGCAGCCACTGTCGCTGCGTCCAACCCTGATAAACAGAAAACGGCAATGACACAGTTGTTGGGACAGAAGAGACTCCACTTGTACACGCAACAATCATTACGAATTACGAATACCACAATAGAACTACCGCCGATAAACATGACTTGTACTTGCTTTGGCACCGATCAGAAACAAGTCAAAATGTTGCCATGTGGGCATGTCTTTGATGATAGCTGCATTGGCAAGCACATGGATTCTCAACACAAACTGGTATCTCTTATCAGGATGTCAAAGAAGGCATCTCACGTACAGCCCCCCAAAGGGCACTGGGTACGGGGGGACAGCTCCTGCAAAATCCTGGATGGTTCCTCCTTTGATGCTTGCAAACATCAAAGAGGAACGCCGTCTACACTTGTCGCTGATCTTGGCGCACACACCCATTTTCTTAATCAAGGAATGGAAAAAGGAAGACTAGGCTACCATGGTTCAATGCTGGGTGAGTTGGATAATTGGAGTGAACTCAAGCGAAGGGTAGAGGAGGAACGCCGTCTTCGAGAAGCGAGGCAAGCCCGTCGTCTGGTTTCCGAGAGAGAACATTACATTCTCATAGCAATGCGGGAGGATGTGATTTTGGGGGTGGATCTTCTAGTGAGTGGCGAGGAACGCCCATGCAAACAAAGGGAACCTATTGGCTCAGTGCCCCCCACATTGAGCTTCTTCCTGCATCTCCCAGGTGGTGGTGAATGCTGAGTGCGTCCATCCGAGGAAGTGTCTTCTCTTAAAAATGTTCAGTCTCTGCCGCTGATATGTAAACTGTCTTCCCAAGGGAGAAGAGCCGTACGCAAAGGGATGGGGCTGCTGGAGGACTCAGTTTGGTCTCTGAGTGAGGTATATCCCTCACGAAATGTGATATCCTTGGCCTACCAACTTAGCTGGGCGCTCCGTGAATGGATAGGCCCCGTACTGACAACCTGTTTTGGACACCTGGTGGCTAGCCAGATTTCCAAAGCGTCGCTGATTGCCTAGCTACATGTAGAAACTTTGCCGGTCCAATGTGATTCCTCATACGGTACGGTACGGTGCGGCTACTGAGGATAGGTAACAACGTGGCTACTGTACCGGTATTGCTCCTCCGGCTTTGGTGGTAGGTAAGTATTTGTGATGGATACCGGTGCCATGAGAATCAGCTAGCTTGTAGGCAAGGGGCTCCGCGTAGGATAGAATATAGAGTTTGGCGAGTACATGGTGACCGCGTCCTCTGGCATGGAGCGGCGAGAAACACACAATATCTAAGCCGTCGAGTCTCTGTGCATGGACCAACGTCCAAGCAACGCGGCGGATTCCAATGAACAAAGCAAAGTGCAGGAGATGAATATGTTTGAGTGCATTTATTTGGGATGACTACCACTACATGTATGTTGGAGGAAAAGGAATGTGTTGTCTTGGTTTCTCTAAATATATAATGTTTTATACTGTAATCCAGTTTGCTTTCTTGTTCCTAATAAGTTGTGTCTGTCTATAACTGTTCCCATATATCATTGCTTTCGTTCTTGTTCCTGTTTTTGTTTGTATTCCAAATGAAAAATCTGTCGAAATCAGCTCATCTCTAGTGCGCTGTTTGGTTTGGTTGGTTGGTTGGTTGGTGTAGTGTAGTCATGTAAAATAGTATAAGAAGGGATTTAATCGAATCCCCTCTGGGCCCATGTTGCTTGTGCGTTTGTTTGGATAGTTAGCCAGCCAGGTAGCTAGCTAGCTTGCTCTTGGTAGTGTTTGTGTTTGTTTTGTTTTGGTTGGTGCCAATTCATAAGGAGGAGGAGGAAGAAGAAGAAGCCCAATTGCCACTTCGCAATGCCCCAAACAACTCCTTGACCATGTCATGATCAACCTCATCGGCAGAATGGTTGGCATTGCGGTTGCTGCTGCTGCTGTCTTCCTCCGACGCATCCGCAAACTGGTCCACCGTGGTATCATCATCATCGTCCAGCTCTTCCTCTTGCGTGGAAGAGAACGACGAAGTAGTGTCATCGTCATCTTGCGGCGCGGGCGATGCCGCGAGCTCCAGAGTGGGTGAGACGGATGGAACGGATGGCAAGGAGTAGTAGTGACTACTACTTGGCGGCGGCGGTGGTGATGGTGATGTCTTCTTAGTGTTCTTTTCCTGTTGCCGCTGTCGTCGTGTCCGCCCCCGCGTGTTGTTGACGGGCGTCTCGTCGAGAATGGAATCCTCTTCTTCTTCTTGTGGTTGAAGTTGCGTGGGAGACCAAACGTGACGACTGGCGGATGATGAGGACACTGGTGGAGTGACCGCTGGCAATGACGGTTCCTTCTTGGTCTTCTTCTTCTTCTTGGTCTTTTTGGCTTTCTGACTGTTTTTGAGAATCTTTTTCTTTTCGTCTCGGAGTGCCTGTTGGATTTTGGTGATAATCAGCAAGAGATCTTTGGGTCGTTTGGGAGAAAGCTCGCGGACGCCCGTGTCATCGGACAAGTAGAGTTTGCCACCCGCAGCAATCAATGGTTCCATGACATGTTGAACGACATAGCGCCGCTTGTCACTGGCCAAATGCTGATCAATGGCACAGTAGTCACCCGATTGACTCCGGATCAACGTCCGAAACAGAGTGTTTTTAATACTCAACCCGCCTCGCCGTCCAAACACGGCATCCAAGTCGCTAAACGACTTTTTCGGACTACGGCTCATCTCAATTGTGTGGGACAATCAGCTACAGCAACAGCAACAACAGCAACAACAAGGACTCTTTCCAATGCTTGCTTTGGCGACAAAGAGAGATATAGTTGGTATGATTTGTTTGGGTGGAGATGGAGTTGCCACACAAGAGAGGCATCCCACGAAGCTATCCCACGCCGGAAACATTCTCTCCCCCCAAAACAGATTGTGTCAAGCGGATCCTTTCCATCCGTGCTCGGGACTAAATGCATCGAAGGCGAAGGATTTGGTAGTTCGAACGGGTTCGAAGGAGTTCTCGCGTAAGTACAGAAAGCCTTCGCTTTCCCACGAAAAAAAAAGTATCAGCCAAAAAAAGTGGGAATTTTAAAATTTAAATTTTATTATGTTTTAATAAAATAAACCTACTCAGATACCCCACTATCATACAGTTTATCAACCATACCGTAGCAACCCAGATAATCGACTCCACTTGGTGGGATGGTCAATGAAGGTCTTTTTGACCATTTCAAACAAGATAATAAAACATAATTAAAAAATTCCCACTTTTTTGGCTGATATGTACAAGCCCAAAGACGTGGGGCCTGCAGGGCCCCATAGATTTGGCTCCAAAGTTCGAACGGGTTCGATTGGATTCTCGTTTAACAAGATACGGGAAGCTTTCCCACGCTTGTAGCCGTTTTTCGTGCCGTTGTTATGCGAAGCCCACCTTCTCGCATGCGAAGGATAATGCCACCACCAATCCATCCGTCGAGCCATGCCCAACAACAACGAGAAAGCACAAGGCCATGTGGTCCCAAGTATTACTAGCATCATTTGTCCTTCTACTCCTCAGTATTGTTGTACCCATCTCTTCTTCCTCCTCATCTACCATGGCTGACAACAACAACAACCACCACTCATTTGACGCCATCATCATTGGCAGCGGACTGGCCGGTCTGAGCACTGCCTTGACCATTCTCGATGCGGGAGGACGGGTTTTGATTTTGGAAAAGGAACCCAAATTGGGAGGCAACTCCATGAAAGCGTCCTCGGGCATTAATGCCGCTACCACGGACGAGGAACGCCACGCCTTTCGTCAAGACACACTCCACAGTGCGGGTGACGCCACCAACCCCGCTCTGGTCGACACATTGGTCCAACACAGCCAAGAAGCCGTCTTGGGATGGCTGCGAGAACGATTGCAAGTCGATCTGTCCCAAGTCGCACAGTTGGGAGGACATTCTCAACCACGCACGCATCGACCGGCGGGAAAATTGCCCATTGGAGCGGAAATCATGATCAAGTTGCAAGCGGCCGTCAAGGAATTTGAAGGCAAACAAGAACAAGACAATGGTGTCCTTCAAATTTGTACCAGTGCCAAAGCCACTCAATTGGTACAAGACGATCAGGGCCGTGTCGTCGGTGTGGCCTATACTATTACCACTGAAGAAAAGGAACAAGAAGTCGTAGCCCACGCCGCCAATGTCGTCTTGGCCACGGGTGGATTTGCCGCCGATCGATCCAGCACGTCCTGGCTGGCCAAGGTTCGTCCCGAACTATTGGCATTGGGAGCCACGGCCGGAGAATTCTCCACGGGCGATGGGTTGACATTGGCATCGGCCCTCAACGCCAATCTTGTGGGTATGCAACACATTCAAGTGCACCCCACGGGGTTTGTGGATCCCAAGGATCCGGACAACCCCAACAAGTTCTTGGCGGCCGAAGTCTTGCGAGGTGTAGGAGGTATCTTGTTGACACCACAAGGAAAACGGTATGTGGTGCCTCTATACATGAAAAAAGTGTTGTTGGGGTTGTGGCATTGTGGATGGATGTTTTGCTCATTTCTGGATTGTGCTTCTTTTCCTCCCTCTACCCCTATCTTTCTTGATATCATAGCTTTTGCAATGAGATTGGGAGACGTGACTATGTGACGGACAAGATCTTTTCTCTCAATGCAAAGTACGCAGAGACAAAGACATGGCAAGGTGGTAGCGATGAAAAGGTGCCCCAGGTATATCTCTTGGTATCCGAAGAGGGTGCCGCTGCCATTCAGAAACATGTTGACTTCTACGCCTGGAAGGGGTTCTTGACCAAAGTCAAGGGAGCCAAAGAGGTCGCCGAATACATGGGAATGGACGCCGAAACCATTGGTGCGACACTACAGGAGTATCAGGATGCCGCCAAGGCCGGTGCCGACTCGTTTGGAAAGAGTCGCTTCTTGGCCGTCCCACAACTGGACGAGGAGAGTGCCAACTACTACGTGGGCAAGGTCGAACCTGTGCTGCACTATTGCATGGGAGGCGTTCAAATCAACCCGCGAGGACAAGTGCTAAAGGACGAGAGCACCATCATTCCAGGCTTGTATGCCTGTGGGGAAGTCGCGGGCGGATTGCACGGCAAGAATCGATTGGCCGGCAATTCCTTGTGTGAATGTGTGGTCTTTGGACGCATCGTCGGCCAAGGCATTGTCAAGTGCGAGAACGCTGCCAAGATATAAAGGACGCATCGTTTTGCATTTACGATTAGAGTAATCAAACACTACATAGAGACTTTAAAAATGCGTCGTGAGACTTCCAGCACCGGAATGCTTCTGTTGCTTGCCAGGAGCCATGGCAAGGGTCACCAGCCTCCTCCTGCACCCCCACCGCCGCCACCACCACCACCACCTCCTCCACCACCACCAAAGCTACCTCCGCTGCCGCCACCCGAAGACCCACCACCAAACGCAAAGCCTCCTCCTCCGCCACCACCCCAACTGCTTCTGTTTTCGCTGTACACGTAAGTTGTATGGGAATGGTGTCGTTCACAATCACGTTCACGTCGGTGATTTTGGTACCAACGTTCCTGGCGACGCCTCTCTTCACGCCTCTCTTCCTCAGCTTTTTGATGACGCTCCCTTTGTAGCTGTCTCGTCCTCTCATAATCCCAATTGACAAAGTCATCCACCATTGACCCTCGATATTCTGCCTTTTTCCACTCCTTGATTAGATCAATTGGCATGCGGGTGTGAAGGCTGGTGGTCAACTTGTGAATTCGTTCCAATCGATACACGCGTTCCTCCTGATACTTCACTGCATCAAAGCCAGAACCCTCCATAAAATTGCAACTTCCCTTGTCACCCAAGATGGATACATGGCAAATAGGGCAACCGGCCGCAAACCCATTTTCACGCTGAAATGTAAGGGTTTCTTCCAAGCAGGTGTCATCAAAGACATGGCCACAAGGAAGCAGCTGGACCATTTTGCGGTCTGAACCCAGGCGAATTACCGGCATTGTAGTTGTTGTTATGGACGTAACGGCTGTAGCTTGCACTAGTGGTGTGTCTTCGGTAGCCATCAACTTGCCATCGTGATCAGTGGGAACAGGAATAGGGGTAATGGCAGTGGCAGTAATAGTGGCTGCTGTTGGCACCTCGAACCGATTGTCATGTGATTTTACAGATTGAAACCTCTTTAGGCACATTGGACACGAATCAGCTCTGTAGAATTCACCCCTCAATACGTTCGCATGTACGGCATCCATCTCTTGGAGCCAAATCTTTGCTCGTGTTATCTTTTGTACGGCTTGCTGCTCATGATGCGTATTTCTGTTTTCGGCCTTGTTCCCCAATTGTAAGCAGCAACAGATAGCACAACCCGCGCAACAAAGCCCCAAAAATGACAAAATGCCCACACCCACTTGCTGCGCATCCTTATCCGATACTGGCTCACCATTGATGGAAAAGTGTGATGGTGGTGTGGCTACCATTTCACCACTGGCATAACGGCTCAAGTAAGAAATTGCAGATTGAATGGCGGCAGCATACTGTTGCTGGCGCAGGAAGGGCTTCATAAGATTGATGGCATCTTGCAGGACATCATCACTGATGATTGCTTTCAAAGCATTGCCTCTAGAAAAGTACATTTGACGATCTTGTATGGCCAAATAGAGCAAGATACCGGTGCCTTCACAGCCAGTAGGATACCCCACACCCCACTGATTGTGGATGGAAGTGGCCACTGACCTGGGAGTGGCACCATGACTAGTGCTCTCAATGTAGACTCCAAATTGAAGACCTAGTGGAGACCCATGACAGGATACAGTGTAACTCTCAAAGTGACGAATGGCAGCATCGATGGCAGCAATGTCCGAGGATCCCACAATGTCATCAATATCACAGATTCGTTGAGATCCATATGAATGACACGCAGAGCTTGCTGGAGTTTCAAAGTGCCTGTAAGCGCTGCTATGGCCAGCTATGAGCAGCGTATAGAATAGAAGGAGGAATTGAATGCTCGTCATCATGGTACGGCAGCACTTTGACTTGGGTCGCGTCTATTTGTTTGTCAGCGGGGAGATGTTGTGGAAGAGAGTGCATCGCTGTGATGCCGTAGCGTGCTTACCGTTGACTGAAGAATTGAATCTTCAATCCACGACTGGCCTGACACCTCGGAACGAAAGGTTCCGGGTGACCGTGCCACCGGTACCGGTACCTGGTACCTGGTACCGGTACCGGTACTCTCATCACGTACTTGCCATTGCGCTGCGTGTCAGGGATGGGCGAACTTGCCCATGGCTTTACATTGCATTGCTTATTGGAGCTAGCCAGCTGGAGATAAATTGAAATTGCAACTGACTACTCTTTTTAAAAAAGCTACAGTGTGGTGAATAGCGCATCTTTTGCTTTGGCTGGTTGTTTGGATTGCGTGGATTGGATTGCATTATTGCTTTGTATTGCATTGGCTGATTTATGATTTACCTTTGTAAATCGTTTTGGGCATGACTGACCCCGCAACGCCTCAACGCAGAGCATAGCTTGGAGCAAGCCCAAATGATTCGACTTTTGTCACGCGATCCTTCATTCTCCGTACATGTAGAGGGAATTGTGAGGCCTTCCTCGAAAGTTTTCCGCGACGGTGCAGTGTAAAAAAAAACTGAACGTCTAATAACGGATTCAGACGAGATGTGCTTGAGGACTACCCACGAGCTAAGGCTCGGGTATTTCCCACAGTCAAGTCTGCTCACCGGCCACACTGGCCTCCTGAGAGGGTGCGACGCCTGTTAGCTATCTAAGGATTTGTACACTGAGGTCGGAGCCATGATTCACCACAAATCACGAGCTCTTTGTTGAAGAGAGTTGGGGTTGGTAAAGAAGTTTGAGGGGGTAGGAGGGGTAAGGAAAAAGGGATGGTAGGACGGTGCAGTGTGATCATGGAATTCAGCGGCGCTAGAAACTGCTTGTTGCTATTATGGAAAATATGTGCTAGTACATCAAAAAACAATCACCAAGCCAAAATGACATGGAGGGGCAAATCAAACTGGTTCCAAACAAACAGGACACGTGAGATGTGCATTTCTCCTTGTTGTTCTTGTAGCTATCATCCACTCAGCTACACATGTGCGATCAAAGACATGTCCACATGGCAGTGACTTGACAGGTTTCCCATCAGATCCAAGTCGTCCTTTTTGGAATAACGGTGTCTCTTCTGAGGTGATTCCTTCAAACTGTTCATTGTCAGGTGGAAATTCTTCGAGACATATTATGCAAATTTCGGACATGAACTCCCCTTCAATATTTTGGTTCCCTGAGTGCTGGTTGTTGCTAGTAGGAGAGAAATTCCCCTCAATTTCCTTCAGCTTTTCTTCCACCTCTTCCAGAATTTCTTTTTGTAGCTGTTCCCGAGCTCTTTGTTGCCTTCTCCAGGCTCGATATCCAAGAACAAGGTCCATAAGACACAAGGGCAGATACACAAAGCTGGAGCAAAAGAATATCAGCACCCAAGAAGTGACGCCAAGGTGCTGCAAGTTTTGAGAAAGTAGATACCCTTGCGTTGAATCTGAAATGCCTTCAAAGAATGCCGTAAGGTCGAGGATTGCTGCGTGTATGGCTTCACCATAAAGGCCATGCCTTAGGAATGGTAACATTCCATCCTTCATGGATCGAACTTCCAGTCCTGACAACACTCTTTCCAACCCATATCCCCATGAAAGATAAACAAATGCCTGATTGCTGGGAGTGAAAATCATGTACAATAGGACTCCACAGGCACCCATGTCCAAATCTCTGCGAAGTTTGTCCACAGCCGCACTATTTATAGTTTGATGAAACCGTCGAATGAAGATGCCCATGTTGACGCCATCATCCTGACATCGAAATGTTGAATTTGTCTTGAGGAAGGCCAACTGGCTCTTGATCTTGTCAGTGTCAATGTCACTCAAAAGATGATTAGGGTCACAAACAAGTGTGGTGTTACTGGAAGCAGGAACACATGCTGCTTCTCCCGGCATGTCGATCCCAGTGAGAATTTCCGATGACGTTTTTTCATCTACTGCGGCTCTTAGTGATGGCGTCGAGGTTACTTCCACCGGCAGGCTCCATAACGTAGAGAGGACGATGATCAGTCGCAGACTTTTCATGGTGACTTTGCTTCGTGATGCTGGCTAGCTCTGGTTGTGGCACCCACAACCCACCCAAACAAGATCACAGGTGGCCACATCAATTGTTCCGGGAAACATGCAAAACGAAGCCACTGCCCTCATCTGTGCGTTGTTGATCGGAGGCTGTCGTTGACACTTCCGTGCTGGTAGTTGCAGCGCCCATCTATCCGATCGTACGTTTCCTGTGACGCCATTTTTCTACTTTGGCAGAATTGGAGACCTCGAGGCCCCCTCGGAATTTCTCCTGAGGTTCCGGCAACTGACTCAGTCTGCATCCAAACCACGGGAATGGTGTCAAAGGTCTTTAGAAGGTCAGTCTTGAAAGCTGGGTGAACTGAGATTTATTGACTACTCGAGTACGGTGTACGGTATCATGGTATCTCGGCTTATGATCTTGAAGTAAGTGTGAAGTGCACGTGTGGAGCATTTGAGGCATTTCGGACCTCCAAGGAATTCTCAGGAAGCCTCATTCACTATCTTTAATTACTGGTACCACCAGGTACCGGTACGGTGCTACTCGTACCGGTACAGACTGCCGTACTGTGGTACACGGGTAATGGAGCATAAAATTCAAGTTGTCTTCACAAAAAGAGCTCAACAAGCAACAAGCAAACGACAACGAAAACAATGACCCCACTAGTCCACGGCCTTTCAAATTCTGGCAAACGCGTCATTGTGGCCGGCGCCACTGGATCGGTCGGCCAGTTGCTGGTTCGTGTCCTGCTGTCAGATCCTCGTGTGCAACAGGTGACGGCGATAGTCCGGCAACAGCCAGTGGCCGATGATCGAGCCAAGACTATTTGGTCGGCGACAAACTCGACACTTGAAGACAAGCTGTCTCAGTTGGTGGTAGACTTTGATGATCTCGGTCGGGATAAGGACATTGCCGCCAGCAAACAACGAGAGCTTATTGGAAGCGCCTTTGAGAATCACGATGCCTTTCTGACGGCCATTGGTATTTACAGTCAAGCTACCCTTAGCGAAGACGAAATGGACCAGGTAGAATCCCACAGTGTCGTTTTGGGTAACATTGCCGCAGAGGCCGGAGTTGCCCGAGGAGCCTACCTTTCCGGCGGTGGTGTCAAGCAACCAACTTTAGAAGGCAGAGCCTCGTCCATGTTTGCTCGTTCCAAGGGACGTACTGAAGAGTCTTTGGCAAACCTCTTCCCGTCATCGCATGTATCCTGTCGACCAGCCGCTATACTTGATCGACCTGGTCCACCGGCCTACGGATTCCTTGATGGATATCTCTTAAAGACTCCTTTGTTCGCATGGCTGAGGAATACCAGCATGGCCATTTCGGCCGTTGATATTGCCAAGGGGATGGTACAAGGAGCCGCTTTTGACAAACAGGAACTGGTGAATGGCAATGTCATTTGGGAGAACAATGATATCAAGGAAGCAGCCAAGAGGTACGATGACCTGCTCCGAAACGAAATGTAGGCACCTTCCGCTCCCACGTTTTCTCAGCCAGGCAAGATACGCAGAAGGCTCAACGACTTGTCTATTGGAGGAGGAGAAAGAAGACCCAATGATTATCTGAGGTAGCTGCTAACGCTTATTATATCTGTCTTCGCCATTGGCCCAGAACTACTTCATACATTTGATACAATTTGGTTCATGCCACTGCGTTCACTGAAAACATCTTCATCACAGTTGCCTTCCTGCGCTCCTTTCGGTGCGGCGCAGTGCGGTACGGGTACAGAAAGCACAAAAATCGTCAACGAAAATCGTCTGCAAAGGCAAAAATCATAAAAGACTGTCCACTGATAATTCAGAAAGTAATACTCTACAACACTGATAGTGTTCTGGAGCAGTGTTCGAGAGAAGGGTTCCCAAATTTGCAGAGGAATGCTTGCCTTTTGAATTTCGTCTCCTGGAGACGATTTGCTTTAGGGGTAATGGTACCGATGGGGGCAGAGGTTTGAATTATACCCGGCGCGCATTACTTAGAAGGCCCTGTAGAAGTCTACGTATTCGACTAGTATTGTATTGACGGGATACAGTCAACGCATGTACATGCACATGAAAGTCGCCTTGCGTTCTTCACATTTTAAAAGTTGGCTCCTAATTTTTCGGGGTCGCCTGTGATTTGTTGGACGCTTGATCTTTTTTCAATGACTGACATTGAATGACGTACGAGGTGCAATGGAATCTCAGAAAGGTAGTTGTAGTAATAAAAGTTTTTATATATAGATTTATTTACCCTATATCCCTACCGTTTATACATTATAACAAGAACCCGTCTTTTCGCTGGAACATTTCATCGTATTGACTTCTCCTAGGACAGAAAGCCCAATAGTACCTTAAATCTTGCAAGCATGTCTCTCCATTCGTTGTGGCATGGCAAAGTTCTTTGGATCCCAATCCAGCTTCTTCAATAAGAACAAACCACTCATGGTTCGCACCCTTGATAACACCACGTAAGCCCAGTTTTGACAGTATCGCCATGAAAGTACCAATAACCACACTGCCGTATATCCCTGTAATTTGTGTCCAGTTGTCGCAGAATTGCTGATAATCGGGAATGCTTACCCTTCATCTTGGTGTGTACAACTTCTCCGTCATAAAACATCTGGTGCTGAAAGTGTAGTCTTGCTCCGTTACATAAAAAGTAAGTGGCATAATAGTCTCCATTTCATGTTCCACAAGGATAGATTTGACTTGACCTGAGAAAAAAGCCGAATCTTGCAGCCGTTGTCGAGTGAATAATCATGGGGGTGCAAACATCCCTCACATTCACCTTTCTCACAAAAAGCCGAATCCATTGGCTTCTCCATTCGGAACATTCGTGTTCTCTGTAAACATTACAGGACACCCCTTATATAACTTCAAAGCAGGATCAACACGTTTTCGTGAGTCCGACCGGGTTTTAACGAGTCTTCTCCACATGTTGAAAAGAAGTGCTTTAAAACCGAATTGCTCTTAACAGGAACAGTGTCCCTGCTTGATTGGCCATTTGAAGATCGTCCATGAAAATGAGTACTGCATCCATCAGCACGGAATCATCAGCAGGTTTGTTCTTCCCGCAAAATTCTTCGAAGATAGCTGAGTTAATGGCATCTCGATCTCGATTCAAATAAGTAGCAACTTGAATGTTTCTGGTGGAACATGGGTTGGGCAACCACGCAGGCGTCATTGATGGTCTCAATATCTTCTTTGTTGGTCGCCCTTCACGGAATCTTAAACAGCGTGTCCCCCATTCAGGATCGTCTTTGAAGCCGTGCATTCCATCTACTCAATAAATGAATTCAGAGAGTCATGAAATTCAGGAATGGTGTGCTGAAGATTGTAAATTGGGGGCGTCCCACTGGTTCAATTGAGAGTAGTCCCCCCGCGAACACCAAGTTAAGTCCCCCAAATGGTTGGTATTCGTCTTGCATCAAGGTCTTGGTGTAGTGGAATATCTTCACTAAGTCAAGTTCCCCCGCGAATGAAATTTCGTCGATGAGTAAGCATCCGTGCGTCACCCATTCTTCTACCAAGTTCTTCGCCCACACTTTCCCGAGTTCGTGTTCAATCCCACAGCTGAATGCGTGTTTCCCCATGCAGTATTGTAGCAGCAACCCCCGACATAGCAGTGACAACAATGGTTCGGTCGTAAATGGATGATCAATCAAACCGCAGAATTCTTTGCCATAGGCATGACTAAGTCAATTACGGTAGTCTTCCCACTTCCTCCAGGCCCATGTAAAGAAGAATCAGTTGGGTGCCACGACTTCCCTTCAAAATCAAAAGGTTTTTACGAGAAAATCGGACTTTTGCCTTCAACCCCATATCCGGACTCCATCCTCTAAGTCCACCTTTTCAGCTTCCTCATAAAATGTCAACAAGAAAGGCTGCAATGATACACTCGAAAGCCCTTCTCTGTTTGTCGTCCAGATTGGCAGCCGTTGCCCAGTCACTTATACTTCTCACGCTTCCAATCGCCTGCGACACTTCAACCTGCGGATTGTACTTAAATTCATTTGGC